ATATTAAGACAGAGAGGATTTTATATGTAACCACAGGGCCACATCTTACAGCGCTGGTTCTGGCCCAAAGTGTTCCTGGAACTTGGGAGCAAACTATCTCTGGGGCCATGCTTCCTCATTGGTGACATGGCGATCAGCTGCCCAGTTGCTAAGAGCATCTAGTTCCAAAGTTACATGAACAACATCTTGCGTGGCCTTATGGCGTCACACCGTGGCAGAAGGCACACTGATGCCAGTGTGCAGCACCCCTTCTCTGACTCCCCTCCGCCCCAGGCTTGAAAAAGGAAAGCTGCGTCTTATGACTGAGCAGACACTGGCCGTCATGTGGCTTTGCTTTCATTGCCCGAGACTGTAGTCCTTACCTTCTTTTGAAATCCTTTCTCCCCCTTAGCCAGAGTTAATTCTAGACTGTGTACTCCTACATTCAGTCCAGCAAGAGTTTAAAAGGGAGTAGATTCTTGAAATGAATTTGGCTATTATCTCTTCGATTATTCTGATCAATTTCTTTCAGTACTTCATGACCCATTCTATCAAAATTTCTAAAAACTGCACTTTTTACCTAAGCAATTAGATTCGTTTGGTTCTCAATTGGCAGGTTAAAAGCATAATTAAGGAGACATTTCAATGGACTAAAATCATAAAGCAAACCATAAACCAAACACTTATACCGTACCAAAGAATCACTGTGCCTTGTCACTAACTGAAATAATGAAAAGTTTTACTATTTACTAAAATTGGATATTTGGCTTTCACATAATACTCAGCTCTTATCACTCTGACATTATTAAAAAAGATAAAGACAATACTTATAAATATAACGAGGGAAAATTCTATTTAATGAAGAAATTAGATTGAACAATTATGTTAGTTAAAAGAATAAGTTTTGATGAACAATGAGTCAAAAGTAATAATTTGAATGTATTATAATTTAGGATCATTTCCTAGTGAATTAATATAGTAAGAAAGTAGGAAACTTAAATATTTCATGATGTTTAATTAGACAATGGCATCTTAATGTACGTTTCTTTAGTAAATGATGCTTATCAGCATGCCTCAGGTAAGTAATTTAAATATAGGTACACACACTTGAAACCATTCTTAACCTGTGGGTCGCAACCTTTGGGGGGGTGGGGTCGAATGACCCCTTCACAGGGGACCCCTAAGACCATCAGAAAACACATATTTCTGATGCTCTTAGGAACTGAGACACTGCTCCTCTATCGTCTCCAGGCGGGTCTGCTCACATGCAGATATGTCCACATACGAGTACCTGGCGTGGAAGACTGTTACCCATGCTACACCATGCTTCAAGACAAAATTTCATTTACTTGTCATTAGAAATAAATATTTCACAATATATAATTACATAGTGTTTTTGTGACTCATCACTATGCTTTAATAATGTTCAATTTGTAACAATGAAAATACATCCTGCCTATCAGATATGTACATGACAATTCATAACAGTAGCACAATTACAGTTATGAAGTAGCAAGGAAAATAGTTTTATGGTTGGGGGTCACCACCACATGAGGAACTGTGTTAAAGGGTCGCAGCACTAGGAAGGGTAAGAACCGCTGTGTTACCTATTGCTTTGTTTGGGCAGGACTCCCTTGCCCTTTTCTCTCCATCTTGCTAGAACTCAAGTTCAAAGAACTTCAGTGGTTCTTAACCCGAGCCTATCAAATTACAGTCCAGGGGCACATCTCTGTTATGCTTGCTTATTTGTGTATCAGAAGTTGTAACTGGTGTGGAACAGCACATTCTGTTCTTTCCGAATCTGCTGCCAGCATCTCTGGTTTGGAGGAGGAGAAACTGAGGTGCAGGGAGAATGAGCGGAGCAATGTTTCTTGGGAAGGTGAGAGGGGACTGGAGCTGAGGTACACATGGAGGAATTGGTTTACTTCCAAGCACAAGCCGTTCTGGCAGCAGAAGAGAAGGCGGGGCACCTCCGCCCACATGCAGGAGAGATGAGACAGTGGTGTGTGCTTGTGATCACTTTCTTCCGGGGGCTTTCATTTTCTCAGTGATATGGGCGTGGGACCATCAACTGAGAATGAGGGGGAGGGGAGGGGAGGGGCGGGAAGGCTGCATCAGAGGTCTGAGGAGAGGGGGAAGGGATGATAAGCATAATAGGCCCCATGGAGCATGCTGATAGTGACTTTGGTTGGCCCCTTTCAGTCGGGTTGGGTGTTTTCTGCAGCGAGGTTAAGACACACAGGTGTGGGGCTGAAGAGGACAGTGAAGCAGATTAACCAGAATCCTGCTCTGACACAGAGATGACGATCATGCGATGCTGACATGTTAGAAGCAAGGTCAGGGGGAAAAAGCATACACACACACAAAAAGAGAGAGGGGACCAGGTCTTCCGTAAGGTGAAGGTCCTGGGAAAGTCTAAAGATTCCTGGAGACTGAGTTCTGTAGTGAGTGAGCTGGAGACAAAGGAGCTCGTAGACAGAATGTGCGTTTGAACTGAGTTCATGGAAAGACTGTAGTCACTGTACTGATTAGGCTGCGAGAACACACATGGGAGAGAGTGACTGAGATAGCAACCATCTGATGAAAAGTCTGGTCTTCAATGCCTGCTGATCCTTTAATACTTCTTACTCCTTACTTTCTGGACTCAATGTTCTGGAGTTAGGCAATGGTGATGGTTGCGCAACTCTGTGCATATCCTAAAAAAAGCACTGCGTTTAGGTAAATTTTAGGCTATGTGCGTTATATGCTTCAATAACAACCCCCCCCTCAAAGATCCGCATTTCGATCTGGCATGGGAAACAGCTCAGCTGTGGATTGCTCTTACCTTAGCGATGCAGGCCGGACAAAACCAGTCCCCGTCTGGTATGGTAGTAATCCTGGGTCTGTGGCAGTAGGTGTGACAGCCTTTGTCACAGCCATCGCAGAGGAGCAGCAGCTCTTCGTTGTCGCCCTTCCGACAGACCTGACAATACTACAATACACGAGGAACCATTAGAGGGAGTCCTCTGCGCTGAGTACCCTGCCACTGGGATGTTCAACACGCCGCACTGCTAATTGGTATTAGTAAGGAACATTCCGCTTGCTAACAAATAGACGGTAGCCATACACATCTATGTATCTCTCATTATACAGATATGGACCACATGGCGGGGTGAGCAGTTCCGTTGGGGGTGGGGTGGGGTCAATGCACAGTTCAGGTACACCGCAAGGAACAAAGCTAGAGGCTGAATGCCTGCACATACTTCAGAAGCAAGTACACGTGTGAAATAATTAACATGACATTAGAGCACATAAAGCAATGGACAGCTTTAATATGTAGTGGCTTTAAAAAAAATACGTTTTGTCTTTTGATTATTCTAGTATCCACATGATACCCTGAGAAAGGAATAAAAGTTGGGGTTATTATTAAAGATAAAAATGAAGAAACTTGCAATTAGATTAGGACTATAGAATAATTTGAAATAAATTATTCCACTTTTTGTTTTGTTGTAAAAATGATTTTAAAGTATTCAAAATCAGGAAACTTTGAAAAACAAATAAACCCAAATCAAATATTTACAACAAGTAAAATGCTTCAGTACAAAATAATTTTAAAGGATAAATAGAGAGAGATACAAGTTAAATCAAACAATTTACAAGGTCTTGATTTATTTTCTAGAGGTAAAAATATGATGATTTCCTCTCTAGTAAAATAAATTTAGTACCATTAAGCTGGAGAATAAGCAAAACCACCCATGGCCATTGAGTCAATGGGATTCAGTTCCATCCTTCTGCAAAGGTTTTTATTCGTGCACATATTCTTTAGACAAGAGATTTAACCCAGGCAAAGGAGGAAAGTGAAAGAGACAAGAGCAAGCTGTAAGATGTGTTCAAAGGGGTAAGAACTAACATGCTCTTTTTAACAGTTCCTATTCCCAGTCACAGTTAAGCATGTCCTGTAAGTCAGTATTTAAAGAAATCATTTATGTTAAATGCATGTGAATATGTAATCTTAATAACAAGCTAGCTAGAGTACTTACACTCACTTTCTCTGCTTTTTAATATGACATTCGATCTTAATCTGAGAAAGTCTAATAAAGTCCTACCTGGCTCAATATGCGTCCAGGTGGTTCCAACCCAGGCAGACCGCAGTGTGCAGGGTGGAACTGCCCCAGAGAGTCTGCAAGGCAGTGTGGATTTTTAGCACCAGGTGTCCTAGTGACACCTTTTTGAATCTTATCAAATGGCAAATACACATTGTTCCAATTCACAATCATTATTAAATCTATAAGCGATATTGAAATTGGCATGGGTACTAAGACTAAGAGTGGCATGAGTCCCATATTCCAAAAATAAGTTTTGATTCTATGGTCTTGCCTTACCTATTACCACAGAATGGAATTCCCTGATGTGTTGTTAGCTCACATCTCTAAAATTGATTTGTAACTTTAGAACTTTCAGTGTAAAGTTACTCACTGAGAAAGAACATTTGGAAGGGTATACTGAAGACTCCCAAACAGTAATTACATAATAAATAATATTTAAAGGGAGATTCGTGATATAAACCAGTTCATTCTTACTGTTTTCCTCAGTAAATAACTAAAAGACTAGAAAAATCTCAACTTTCCTGCTTATGACTAAAAAGTGGAATTACTTTCTGATACTAAGAAATAATTACAAACATCAAATTCATAACTCTCATGAAAAATCACACTGGTAGCTCACAAATCATTCAGATTTGGCTCTGAGTCCTTTGCTATTACAGTTAAAAACAGTGGATATTAACTAGTATTTAACATTAATTATACTATAAAGCATGTTCTGGACAGAGAATGATCTGGAGGCAAATTTTGACAGGTCCCTCTTCCCTGGTAAGCCTGGTCTCTGACCAAGGGGCTATCTGTGAAGGTATTGTGAATTTGAGCATTTTGTTTAGGACATTATGAAAATTATTATATAGCCACAAATTAAACATTATAAAATGTACTTTAATCTTGAGTGAAAATATTTCTTTATAGGGTCATTTCACAGCAAATAATTTATGATTAAATGGAAAAAGCTTGTGGGATATGTAATATTAATATGGAGAAAATTAATGAATTTGCAAGAGCTGAAAAAATTTAGATTGCTGACAGTGTACTAATAAGTGTATTAGTGTATTAGTAAGTGTACTGATATACAGATATGGGTACAAGGTTTCTGTTTCCATCTATAGGTTTTATTTAAAAAATTGACCATATTATGATGATTGTTTTGATAAAGATGAGAATATAACTGTAGAAATTTCATTTTAATATAAGAACTCAATCTTTTTTTGGCTGTGCCCTATATTTCACAAAATGTATCTGTCCAAGATAATTTTTAAACAAATTTTCATTATGATTTCTAAGCCAGGCAAATTGTAGACATCTTAGGGAGTAAAACTGCTACTAGACAAACTCAAAATAGCTTAAAACTTCTGGTAAATTAGAATCTGCATTTGGAGAACACTAAATTTGAGCTTATGATAAAAACTACAAATTAATTATTCTGTGACTATTTCAGGAAGAAGTGACAGAACCCACCAGAGAAACACATTTATTTGTTCAGAATGAACCAGGCCAGTAATGAAAACCAGTAGCAAAAAACATAGAGGTAGAAATTAATAATGCTGTCACTTAGGGATCATTTCTTTTCTTCAGATAGCTATGATAAGTAGGAGAATTCCACCCCAAGCCATTCTTGAAAATAAATTTCAAACGCTTGACCTGAAACCAGCATTGATAAAACCGACAGGGCAGCAAATCAGACTAAGAGTTGGAGGTAGGGGTGGGGTTCCACTGGGTGGGGTGTAAAAGGGAGACAAAGGTCAAGGAGTCCATGTAGAGAAAGATTATTTGGAAACTGATTGTGATAGCAAGTGTACAATTCCACTTGACGTGATTGAAATATGGAATGAAATACGTATTAAAACTCAACTGATTAAAAAAGAGCTAGTCTGAAGTGAATGTTAAGGTGATTCATACACATCTACATAGAATAATGTAACACAATTTATTATATAATTTATATAATCTATAAAGTATATGATGAAATATGTAACTGATAGATGATTTAAAAATAAATAGTTCTCTGGAAAATATATGAGATATGGCTTTTTTTAGGATACAGCATTTAGATATCTGGCACAAAATAGAGGCTTACAATATAGAGTAATAACACTGACCTTTTAAAAAAAGGTGAAAAACAGTTTTAATTGTTGAGGAAAGAGTAAAGTTCTAGTTTTCATGTCACCCACATCTGATGCACAAACAGAGAGCCCTGGTTTACTTTGTGATTACTTTTATATGTATTTCTTGGCACTACAGTACACATGAAAACGGATTGAAATTTAAGACATTTTAGGAATGGAGTGAAGGTACTAGAAAATAGTGTCCACTAGACTGTCACGGGGTGAAAAAGCCATAAAAATATTTAGGTTAGCATCTGGATGCTGAAACAGAACGTAAAGAACAATCGCAGGAAGAGTGTAAGCAGTGTTTGAAGGAGGCGAAAACCAGATCTTAAAACAACAACAAAAGGCACCATTGCTGGCATCTCAAAAAGCTCACTCGGAGAGTGGAGGAATTCGCTCAAATACAAAATGCGTTATTTTGACCATAAGTAATATATGATTAAGAAAGATCCGGCGGTTGGGGGGAAGAAAAGGACAAAGGACATTAGTTATAGTATTTCTTAAATGAAAACACTTACAACTTTCATAATGGATTTTTCCCATGCTATTGATTTCTGTAACTGCTGAATGCACAGAGCTACCTGCGCAGCACTGCGAGCTTCTGATAATGCCCTTCTCCAGACCCTGAGCCCTGGAGCAATATCCTCTTCAAGTCTGCATTGAAACACAGAGAGATTCAGTAGGGCACGTCTACATTTATGGTTCCCGACTGTGAAGCAATCATCACACCGAAAGCCAAGCAATGACAAAAACATGTAACAGCCAATAAGGGTAAGGTTGAAGCAACTAAATTTGATGTAGTGCACAGACTGTGGCTACGTGCCTCAAAGCTTAGTCACAACCAGGTACATGTAAGGCCACTTTGCAAGGATTATCAACGCACATAACACAAAGGGGGAAAAAAAAAAAAGAAGAAAAAAAAGATTTTACAAAGCATCATGCAAATAGCATGATCCGTGTGGATCACAGACATACAAGAAGATACATAGATAACAGGCAATAGAAAATAGGCTCCAATTAGCAAAGAAGCACAATAATTTTTTAAGTTAATCTCAATAACCTACCCGTCACCATCACCACTAATGGATGGTGCAGGAGCAGGGACAGTAACTGTGCCCACATTATCCAGTTTGATCTGAATGGTGGTACTTAAGGGGCTCTTCAGATACCTTCTTTCAATGTTCCGCTCCAAATCAGCCAGCCTGGTTACAGCTATATCTAGGGGGTTGTCACTCTTCCGCTCCAGTGCGTGTGCACTGCTTGCTTCTTCTCCTGTAAACTCTCCATCGTCCTTGCACAACTTAGTAAATGACTTATGTTCAAAATAAACCAAGTCCTCCCTTTCTGACGCAGGCTCTGGGCACATCCAACCCTAGATAGCAAGAGAGCAGTGTTATTACCGTTTTCCCGCAAAGGGGCCGGCGGGTGAGTTACCTTTACTTAACATACACCACCACACATCATCAGATCACAAGGATCTTTATTAAGAGCGTGCACCTGGTGCTTGCTAATGCTGGACAGAAACAAGAAAAAGAAATTTAGAACAGTTGTAAGAAAAGCTTGAAGAGGAAATCACAACAATTTTGACATTAGGAGACATATAATCAAAATCAACACGGTACGCTGAAGGATTTCCCAGGGGGATGCTTCTCAGTTTCACGGGATCGATGAAACGGTATCTCTCAGCAGCATCTGCGGCATGCTCCTCTTTTCCATTGTACAGGTTCTTTTACTCACCACCTTCCTCTAACCCCGGGGGTCTGGCATAAGCGGTTACTTTGCCTTACAGCTTGTCCAGGCTCCTTTCTATCTAGTTAACGCCACTCATCTTGCAGCACTCAGATTAAAAGTCACCTCCTCGGGGAATCAAAATGAATATTATCCTTTTCATTGAATTCCTTTAGAGATCATTGTTGTATGTGGCTTACATAGTAGGGTCAGTTCTTCAACTTGAATTTATCAGAACACTTATTTTCAGAATGGGGGAGATGGAACTATGAGTCGTAAGCACAATGCATTAGGTACAAGTCATGTCAAATGAACCGCATCCTCATAGTTTAAAAGGGACACTAAATGATAAATCGAGGGAGCTCTGTGAACATAGTACATCGTGATGTCTGCAAGGCAACTGTCAAGATTAAAAAAAAACAAAGAAAAACAGAACATAGGCCAAAAAAAAAAAAGAGGACCACCTTAGAAAACTCTGGTTGAAAAGTGTCAAAGAATGGCAGGTAACAGAGCTTGTCACCTTGAGATTGAACTGGGAAAATGGAAAGTTTAAAAAGAGCGGTAAGAGCAGGCTTTAGAAGATCCGGAAGGGTGATTAAACTTTTGAACTCTGAAAACCATGATAATGGCTTTTCTTATGCCACTGGTATTTCACCCCTGGTGAACAGGCTTCAACAAAGCTTCCAGAATAAGAACAGAGTGGGAAGAAGAAACAGGCTGTCTACTTCTGTGGAATCAGTCCCCCAAAACTGTAGTATAGCAGGGGAACATGGTGGGATAGAGAGCCGGAAGGTGGCTCTCCAAACCAGGCAGGGGAAGATGAGCCTCTCAAAGCAGACCCGCCCTTAAGGATGTGGATAGAGTCACGCTGTTAGGACTTTCAACTGCCGGGGAGGCATGACTCAGACGGAAAGGACCTAGCTGCAAGCATCCATTAGTCATCAAGATACAGAATGTACAGAGTAGGAAGGTAAGGATGAATGCAATGGAATACACGCAGATGGAGACCCCAGGAAATTACCAGCTGAAAAGGACTCACCCGGTCATTGTGAATCAGAGCATCCCATAGTGTGCTCGGCTGGGATAGGCAAATTCAAGAGAAACAGTGTCCCATTTGTCATCAAAAAGAACATTTCAAGATCTAGCTTGTTGTCTCTGATAGGATAATATTTATATCCCTACGAAGAAAATCCATTAATAGAACTATTACTCAACTGGATGGACCAATTACTAAAGCCAGGGATGAAGAAACTGAAGAATTCTACCAACTTCTTCAGAACACCGAATTGTCCTGCTGCATACCTGTACAGAACAAGGGAACACCACATGATACGAAATCCGAGAAGGTGGGCCTCAGGTTTGTGTCCTTTTCCATCTGTATACGGAGCTAAAAATCCAAGATGCCTGACTACATGGAGAAGAATGCAGTGTCAGAATTTGGAGGAAGGGTCCATTAACAACCCACAACATGCAGATGACACGGCCTTAAGTTGCTGAAAGCCAAGAGGACTTGAAGCGCGTAGGATAGACGTCAAAGATGATGCCTTCTGTAAGGACTACAAATCAAAACCCTTGCAACTGGACCAACAGACAACATCACGATAAACTGAGAAAAGATTGAAGTCGTCAAGGATCCATTTGCTTGGACCCACAATCAACAAACACGGAAGCAGCAGCCAAGAAACCAACATATTATTACACAAGACGTCTTTAGAGTGTCAAAGAGTGAAGCTATCACTTTGAGGAATAAGGTCTGCCTGACCCAAGGCAGCGTATTCTCATCTGCTTATGAAACCGGACAATGAATAAGGAAGACTAAAGAAGAATTGATGCTGGCAAAAAAGGTTGAAAAAACGGTGGACTCCCAGAAGAACATATAAATCTGTCTTGGAGGAAGTATAGCCAGACTGCTCCTTAGGATCAAGGATAATTTGACACATTACCAGGAGAGAGCCACAAAACAAAAACAAAACCAATTGTCACTCAATTCTGACCCATAACAATCTCTGGAAGAAGCTATCATGCTTGGGAAAGTAGAAAACCGGTGAAAAAGAGGAAGATGCTTAATAAGATGGGTTGACATGGTGGCTAATAAAACGGTAATTGTGAAGACCACCTACATCAATCAGTTTCTTTCTGTTTCATGTGAGGTTGCTACGAGCTGGAGCCAACTCAACAGCACCTAACACCACCACCACCACCACCACCAACAACAACAACAGAAAGCCCTCACAACCAGCACTAGGAGCAGGCTCAGCTTTTCTTGTAGCCTGGAAAGAACTCTGGGTCCTCAGTAATATGAAAAAGAAACGCACTGATGTGCCTTCACGGTGGCTGGTACATCAGGCTGAACATACTCTCGGTGATTTTTCCTTCTTAGCAAAGTGGGTTTCCTTTTTCGGGGGGAATCATTAAATGCTCTGTACCCGTTGCTGTCCAGTCAGTTGGGACACAGGGACACTCCGGACGGAATAGGGTTTCCAAGGCAGGAATCGCTGCAGAAGCAAAGCTGCCCGCTCCTCCCATGGACTGGTTTGTAGCTTCACACTGGTGACCTTTCTGCCAGAAACTGGGTCCTAACCACGGTGTCACAGGGCTCATTTGGTTCAAGTTAATGTTCGTGAATCATTTTTACCCTTTGGGACTTTGGATATTCTTCAAGACCCACATGAGCACAACCTAATTCTTAGACTAATTCAGTAATGCCTTATGAACAGCATGATTTTTAAGAAAAAGCAACTCATGTACTTTATTAGCTACTGAGAACATCTCCATGTAAGGAGCCAGGGATGTGGTTAGATCAACCATCAAAACCCGAGTCCGTCCCCATGGAGGCGCTCCCAACTCATAGTGACCCTGTGTCCGAGAGAAGAAAGTCCGGTGCCATTCACAGTTGTTGTGCTTGAGCCCAATGCTGCTGTGTCTAATCCATCACATCTAGGCTCTGCCTCTTGTTGTACTGACCCTCTGCTTGACCAAACACAGTGTCTTTGATAGATGTATTTGGTAGATCTATGTTGTCCTCCGCAGTTAATTGTAGAGAGTAAAAGTCTTGAGTCCCTAGTCCCATGTGGAGCACAGTAGTAGGAGTCTGATGGGACTTACACTGAAGTGTTACATTTAACATGGGAAAACTGTCAAATGCTGCTTGTAGTAAAAAAAACGCATAGCACAGACAGTATTTTTGAATACCAGTGAGGCAGCAAGTTTTATTAAAAAAACCTTGGAGTCCGGAGCCAGACTGACTTGGTTTGAATCCCCCTTTACTGGATGACTGTGGGCAGACTACTTACTCTGGGCTTAGCCCTTTTCCTGTAAACTTAACACAAGATTGCTCTGAGAATTAAATAATATTTGCCAGCGTTGAGCACAGTCCCTGGGGAAGAGTAAGCATGAAAGACAGATTAGTTACCTTCCCTTAGCCAACATCAGATTGTAAGCCAGGTCAATTAGTTTACCTTCACTTGCAAACTTGCTGATGCAACTCTCCTTTCCAGATCTTCTACCTGTTGAAGGAGCCTCAAGTCTGTCTCCATCGCTTGCTCTTCCACTGACCAGTTCTCCACGACGTCTCGGGTGACCTGGCTTTCTTCATTCTCACTTAATTCAATAAGAGCAACTGTGTTTGGAAAGAAATCCATTTGAAAGATTCACTTTGTTAGGGTTTCCCCCTCAGAGATTTCTTCCAGAATGCAAAAACAATTCCAGGGGCGACTCAACGCACACAGATGCGTTTGTGAAATGCAGACAAGCCCACGGTTGAAAGTATAGGATAAAGTTTTCTTTTTTAAAGAAATGAAAAGCCTTATGTCTCGGGGCATTAAAAAACTATAAGAAAGCATTATCAATTTAAGGACTATAAATAGTTCCCGTCTGTAGAGCAAATTAAGGAAAATGCTTACCAGTAACAAATTAAAAATTAAGATGTGTGAAAATCTGTCCTAGGCTGAAGGCAGTAATTGCACCCACGCAAGGGAGCAGAAACATATTTCAGGTACATACCGTCCTTATTCTTGAGGCAAGCTTGAGTGATGTAATCCAGGTGTTTCTGAATTTGCTTTTGCAATGCCTTTTCTCTTATTCCTCTGAGATGAAGCCCTTTGAGCAGAGCTTTTAAGTCCTCTGGGTCAATAATTCTCCACCAACCAAACTGCATTTCTAAGTGAAAAGAAATATGGAGATGTTTCACAAGCATTCAAAACGGTAACAACAACAATTTCTTATCTTCTTATCGTGAATTGGGTGAGTTTCCAGGGCAGACCATCAGTGGTACATTCGGTCATTCATGCACGTTTTGCTGCTTCTCATTCATTGCATCCCCTCAGTGCAACTTCATGCATCCCACTCATCCTCCCTACGTTGCCTGCTTCCACTCTTCCTTGTTCACTGCCCTTCTGAACGTTGTCCTTGGGCAAACGCTGCCTTACGGGTCTTGTATGCTTGATTACTGTGCCAAGTGCAGGTGCGGCTCAGGAGTGTTATGGTTCCCCTTATAGACCAGTCTATTGTTTGGCTAAAAAGTGAGCCATAGGGGTGAGTGCAAAACCCAACCGCAAGGGTGAGTAAGAGCCACAGTCTTGGGAGTTCCGCAAGTCTCAAGCTGAGCAGTGAGCCTGGTCTCCTTGATTCTGAGTTTGTTCCATCTTTATTTCACACTCTGTATGCCACTCCTGCCAGAGCAGTCGGTAAAGGTAGCCAGGTTTTACGGACAATCTTAATATGAAAAGATGACACGGTGCATATCAAGACTTACTTCTGACATATAAATCATTAGAGATTCAGTTCTATCAAAACACAATAATAAAAGTAAGTGACTACGAACCATGGCATGCACCTACCTTCTGGAATAGGTTTTGGACTAAGAAAATCGACTGGTTTTGCTACTTCAACAGCTGCTGGCTGAGTTGAAGACACTTTTTCATTCTGTGGCACTGGGGACTCACTTTTACTTGAAGTGGCATTGGGTGTCAAGAATGAAGTACCATTCGCTTCTGATAATCCCAACCCTGAGCCTAGACTAGATAAAGGTGATGATGTAAATGGAACATTGGGAGTAAGGACACCTGGAGGCCACCCACAAAACTGAAGTCCCATCATAGAGACACCGCTTTTCATCTGCAAAAAATAAAACAGGAGAAAAGTAGAACAATGTAAAAGGTTTGGGAAACAAATGTTTAGAACCTGGATTTATTTTTAAGTTTTTGAAAAAGAAATTCATTTATATCACAGTTAGAGGAAAAGTAGTTAACATAACAACATTAAACTTAATGTTTCCATTTGTTCCTGATCTAAATCATTTCCCTTTCAAATGTTATATTATCGCAGTAACAAGTAACAATAATTAAAGAAGCAAATGACTTGGCTCAAACCTACAGTAGAAATCTGTAACTATGATAAAGTTTGGCAACTTTAGTTTTCAAACTGTGGCAAGGTTAATACTTTCATTATTCAACTGATTCCTCCTTGAATGAATGAAGTCTTTGTGGGGTCAAAGATAAAGCAATGTAAAAATGAACTGCAGTTAGTAATACTTACCTGAAGAGGTGATAAAGCAAATGGATGTAAGCCACTAGGACTCTGAGAGGCAGGTGACCCCAGAAGAGGAGCTGGAGCGGGTGACGGTGACTTAGGTGGCGGCTGCGACTGAGGAGCCACTAAAGATGCCGCTGACGTCTCAGCATGGATAAGTGAAGTGTCATCACAAGGCGTTCTTGGCAAGAGGCTAAACCACTGTCTGCTCTTTTCCGTCAGTGTTTTCAACAACTGGTCACTGGGGAGAGGACTGTAGAACTTCCCTGGCCCACTTGAACCAGTATTAAAGAGATTGTTGGAGTCTGTCTTTTCCACGTTGCTTTGGGTTGGTGTTGACTGAAGGCTGCTCAGTGAATGTTTTCCACTATTTGGATAAGACAATGTACACCCATTAGCATTGCCATTTGGCTTGGAGGTCATAGATTCTGACTCAGGCGGCATCTTAGCTACTTCTAAGAGTTTGCTTAATTTGGAAAAAGAGCCAGGTTTCTGAAGAAACAGATTTGTGTTATCCTTTTCTTTAAGATCTTCCTTTTCTTTAAGTTCACTGTGATCTGCACTTAAGCAATGTAAGGTGTCCCCAGGGGTCTCAAACACTTCTTCTTTTAACTGGATACTTTCAGCCTTTTTTAGTTTTTCTCTTTCTTTTGCAATTTCTTCTAGTCCTATAAACATCAAAAAGTACTATGCATTACTACTCTAAAACAAACAATCACTATATTTTATTACTATCAGATTATAGACATATATTTTAAGGAACTTTCCTAGATTACCAACTACTCTCCATTTTTTAAAATACATGATAATTTATATCTTGGGGAAATTAATGTATATTCATTGTAAACATTTTAAATATATTAAGTATCCAAATCCATACTACACAGCAAAGTCACCATGAATATTTTGCTTAAACCCATTATAAGGGTTACAAAGTTCTTGATTGAAAGTACCTAATATAATTTAGAAACCAAACTTCTGTTGATGGATATTAGATGAGCCCAGTAATGCACTATTATAATCAATGTTATAAATGATACATTTCCTTGTATTTGCATTTTTTGTTTTTTTCCCCATTTACATCTTCAGGATAAACTTCTACACACTAACTTATGGGCTCCTAAGATATGTACTTTTCAGAGTGTTGGAAGTATACTGTCAATGTAATACACTGTCAAACTACCCTCTAGAAAGTCTTAATTTATTTACACACTCACACCAGAAGTGCATCAGAGTACTTGCTAACTTATACCCTAAACAAAATGGATACTATTAATATTTTTCTGTTGCAAATATTTAGGAGGAAAAAATATAAATTAAAATAATTTACAGTTTTATTAACATATAATTCACATAGCATACAATTCAATGGTTTAAACATATTAAAAATGAAATTGTTGACAACTTCAATCTTTTCTGCTTTTATCCTGTTTTCTCTTTTGGTCCAGTTGTAAGGATTTTGGTTTTCTTTCCATTAAGTTGCAATTCATATTGAAGACTCTTATCAGTTTTTGAAATAGTCCCCCAAAGCACAATTTGATCTTAACAAAATAAGGTTATTGTTATAAGAGCTGTAAGAGGCCCCAACAAAATGATTTATAAAAATAAAATTAGATTAGCATGCATCTATTTAAAAGTTTAAATGCATAGGTTGAAAATATCACTTTAGTAACATTATCATCAGTTATTATTACACAGCAGAGATTACTAACAAAAACAAAAAGTAACCCTGTTGCCATGCAGTTCAGCGCTTCAGTCTGGTGTGCAGTCCTTGTTGAAGAATAAGCAGTGTGGATGGCACAGTTTTGGTTTTAATTAGCCTCTATGATGGTAATGATATAGCAGGGACATCTTTCAACTTGTACATGTAAACAGATGAACACTGCGGTAGTTACGTACTTTCATGTCAATTTGAAGCTTTATAAAAGTGTAGGTGTGGAGTTCGGCCTGACAGTCAAGGTAAAATCTGATAGTGACCCTCTTGTGGGCGTGGGCCCTCTCAAAAGGAGGGCCCTGGGTACCCCCTCCCCCTCTCTGCCTTCACCTGCCTGCGGCTGAGTCACGAGAGCTGTCAGAACCGTCACCATTGGATCTCCCTGACTCTGCACCCACTGGCTAGTGATCTCCCTGCATCTGCAGCACTGCATGTGGCTGCGTGAGTCTGAAGAGGGCCTTAGGAACAAATATTGTATTATGGGCTTGAGTTGGACTGGGCTGGGATGTTTTTCTCAATATATAATTATTTCTTGATATAAAGCTTCTTCTTGCGCATGAAGAAGTGTCCCTGGACTTGCTTGTCTAGTCAACCTGGCCCGACACAAATATTCAATCTAACCTTAGGCTCAAATTGTTCTCTTGGAGAATTTTTCAAAAACTGGTAAGAAGGGATAAAGCATAGAGCTAACGCTGTATTTAGTCATGATCCATTTGTTTAATACTCGTTTTTGCCACTTAGTAGCTATTTATCCTTATTAGTCTTGACTCGCAGATACAGTATTCGCTTATATTACACAGTCATGATTGTATACACTTCCTTTGTCCTCAAACAAGGGAACTTCAAAAGGCTCAAGGAAGAATGAATGGCTAGTAGAGATTCCTCATGAACTTTCACATGTCGATTGTAAGCTCTTTGTGGAAACCGGGAGGTTGATTAGTTTTTTAAAATATTTTCCATAGCACCTACATGAGGCATAAAATAAAGGTTTATTTTGAACACATGATGGCCGAATCAGGAATAGATCTTTTTTGGAATCTATATCTGTGATTTTGTAACTCTCAAAGCACATAGAGTAATTAAGTGTGAGTAATTAAACAGTTAGGATAAAAACTTCATGAAAAAATAATGTTTAATGAAATGTTACTTCTATTCACACTATTGTTCAGGGACCACAAAAATAGGATAAGGAGCAATTAATATTTATATAGCATCTTATAAGCTCCTCTTGATATGCTATTTAAGATGACCCCTTCCAGCAATCATACGATCTATAAGAGCTTATTAAAATTCTCCTTTTGTATAGAGGGAAACTAGGATCCAGAGAGGTCAAGTGGATGACCAGAATGGAAACTGGGGACTATTAACTGCGAATTCAATCAATGTTATTGAATCTGAAAGGATTAAAATTAAATAAATAAATGTGTTCCCTGTAGGCTATACTTATAAGCCTTATAAAGACATTTAATTCGCAATTATTTCTTTACTTTCTCTCTTAATTAACTAACAAATGTGGTTTTCATGTGCCCGTGGCATGTGGAGTACTATGTTTGACTGTGGAGAACAAAAATTAAGGTACAAAGGAGGATTATAAAATATAATAAAATCTTTTATAAAATATAAAAATTAAAGTACAAAGGAGGATTACAGTGATTATACAATCACTATACTAGTGATTTTGATAATACGAGGAACTAGTGTATCATCTCTATGGGCCGAAATAATGGCAAACTTATGTGGCTTTCTAGGAGAGTGCAGATAGTAACAATTTGTTCAAATTAAATAAGCAGGGGAAGGTTTTCATGAAAGAGCTAGGGTTTGATCTGGATTGAGAAAGAAGGGGGAAATTCAGGTGGCTAAAGACAAGGCAGATTGCTATTATAATGGATAGGGTTTGGCAAAGCAGAGGACGCAAAGGCCCAGGGGAGGAACGCAGATGTGCTGAGCAGCACTGAGCAGGGCTGGGAGAGCTGGCTAAGGCCTGTAAGAGAGCAGTTGAAAGACAGTGTGAGGACAGGGCCTGCAGAGCCAAGTTACAGGACAAACTTACAAAATCTAATCGGCAAATAAGGGAGTGCAGCAAGATTCTTGAGTAGGGCCGGGACGGAGTGCCAGCATGGAAAGGAAGGGAGGGATTGTGTACAAAGAAGTCAAGGGCAATGGGAATTATCCATTTACATACTGATAAAGAATATATTTCAGTAGTGATGTAAACGGATGGATTTTAGACATGTTGAAGCCCTAGATAACTTAAAGACTATGTGTCCAGGTGATGGAGAATCAGCCAAGTGAAGATATTTAATTAGTCTAGGGTAGGCTCAGGTTTTGGGCTTGTGAGGGGTTCAAATGTAAGCTTCCACAGTGATAATTATCACTAATGGAAAGGGCCACTTGCCTGACCATTTTTCATATTCCTTAATTGAGCTCATATTTTGCCAAGGCGTTAACCTCCCAAGTAACTAATCATTTTAATTGTCATCTTTACTTTTTTTTAAACACAAAATTTTCATTTCATTTTATTCCAAACAAGCTTTTTCTCTGGAATTCTCTGATTTGGTTTAAAGCATCATGCATTTTCTACTCAGGACTAACTCGTCAAGTTTCTTTGAGTCCACTTTTTTCTACATTATACTAGAGAATACCTTATACCAACTCTCGATGTAAGACAGCTCTGTATTCCCATTCCCTCGACTTGCTCTGCATTGGGCTGCTAACCTTCAGGTCAGCGGGTCAAAACCACCAGCTGCTCTTTTCTATTCCCACAAAGAGTTGCAGTCTCGGAAACGCACAGCTCTACTTTGCCCTATAGCAGGGGCTCTCAACCTGTGGGTTGTGACCCCTTTGGGGGGTTGAACGACCCTGTCACAGGGGTTGTCCGCTTCAGAACAGTAGCAAAAAGACAGTGATGAAGTAGCAATGAAGATAATTTGATGGGTAGGGGGTCACCACAACATGAGAACGGTATGAAAGGGTTGCGGCATGAGGAAGGTTGAGAACCACTGTCCTTGTGGATCCCACTGAGTCAGAAGTGACCCCATGGTTATGAGCTTCATTACCCTCTGGGCTACTGGAAAGGTGTCATCCTAGGCTTCTCCAACTCCTTATGCCGATCCCATGTATACTTTGCTCCCAGATGATTTATTTTAGGATAGCTCCCCTGCATCAAATAGTCTCTCCCTACAAAAGGCCCCAATCGAGTGGTAGGGATGGCCAAGCGTTCCAGAACGAGCAATGTTAGTTAAGGTGCATCATCGTTCCCTGCTTTGAGGCCTGCAGGCACTGATATTGTTTGAATTCTAAAGTTCTTCACATGATTGGGCAGTAAGTATATAAGAACAGAGTCTCAGTGGCAATACCAGGAGGGTGGAGGGAGGGTGGAGTGGTAAGGGGGAACCGATTACAGGGATCTACCTATCACCTCCTCCCTGGGGGATGGACAACAGAAAAGGGGGTGAAGGGAGATGTCAGACAGTGTAAGATATGACAAAATAGTAATTTATAAATTATCAAGGGTTCATGAGGGAGGGGGAGCAGGGAGGGAGGGGGGAAAATGAGGAGCTGATATCAAGGGCTCAAGTAGAAAGCAAATGTCTGGAGAATGATGATGGCAACAAATGTGCTTGACACAATGGATGTATGTATGGATTGTGATAAGAATTGTATGAGCCCCAATAAAATGATCACACAAAAAAATACAGAGTCTCTGGAAAGTAAAGGCTAGGATTTCCCCAAACAAGTCAATCAGAATGGTTCTTGCTTTGTTAGATATTTAGCTTCTGCATAGATTTTCATTTAAAAAAAGGGGGGGGTTTCCACTGCTAAAAACAAAAATATTTTTAATTAACTGCTTTATATAATTCTCTACTAGAAACCGCACACAGTATGATCAACAAATTCCTTTCCCCATTTGACTATAAACATATTCATGGCCCAGATACAATTTTTTATATCTCCGAACACTCTACCAATGCCTGGAATGTGTTGTTTTTGTTGATGTTGTTCGGTGTTGTCTGTTGAGTCAGTTCCAACGCACAGCGCCCTGTAGAACAGAACAAACCCTCCCAGACTGCTCCTTCCTCACAATGTGGGAGCCACTGTGTCAGTTCTTCTGGTGAAGGATCCTCCTCTTTCTGCTGACCTTCTGCTTTGCCAAGAATGTTGTCACTTTTCAGGGAAAAGGACACCGTGGGCATTAAATAAATGCGGGGAGCAGAATAACAAGGACTGTGTGGTAACAGAAATACAAGAAAAGAAGTTTAAAAGAAAAGGAAGTGACCACAAATCTTAAACTTATCCCAGACTTTGAGATGACTAAGGATTACGATAAGTATCTTTAATTAATATCTCACCAGCCAGGGACATTGTCGGGATGCATGTTTCTTGCAAAGACTAAAGGATAAGCCACAGGTTGGAAAGTTTGACCATAAAAGAAAGAAATGGAACAGCTGCTATCAAAGGTAAGACAGGTGGAAATCATTTTCCACTAAATAGGAGAAAATTTAGTAGGTTTGATGTCTGAAACACTGGCAAAAGGAAAACTATGGAGAAGGGATAGTTATCAGTTTATGAGATGTTATGAGTTAAAGGGGAATAAAAATTATTATGGATTAAATGGTATCCCCGCAAAAGTTAAATTGAAGTCCTAAAGGGTAGGCCTGGGAATCACTCACTCACGGCCGTCTAGTCCATACTGACTGCTGGCGACAATACAGGACAGGGGAGAACTGCCCGTGGGCTTCCAAGCCCCTTCTTCGTCTAGTGGAGAGACTGGTGGTTGGGCTGGTGCTTTCCACCTGCTGCCCAATGAGTACCCACCAGGGTCCTCTATGTTATGTCATCGAGACCATAAGGGATCTAAACCGTATCCCCTCTGAGTAGTGTTTTATTAAAAAAGCAGAACAGATGCTGGGAAGAGACCAGTGAGGAACCACCTAGAAACCAATGGATGTCAAGTAGCCTGGAGCTACCCAACAAGGCATGACTCTCCCAGAGAGCCGATGACTGAATACAGACCTTCCAGTCTCCAAAGATGTCTACTTGTGTTTCACTGCCTATGTGTGGATCATAATAACTTGAGAAGAATGGGAATGCTCGAACACTTCATTGTGCTCACAAGGAACTTATCAAGAAGCAGCTGTGCAAACCGAACAGGGGATAATGCATGGTGTAAATTAGCAAAGGAGTGTCAGGGTCGTTTCCTCTCACCGTACTTGTTCAATCTGTACACTGAGTGAATCAACAGAGAAGCTGGTTTATGTGAAGAAGAAGAAGGTGGCATCAGCAGGGGAGGAGGACTTACTACCACACAGCGATGTGCAGATGGCACAAACGTGCTTGCTGAAAGTGAGGAGGACTTGAAGCACTGGCTGATGAAGATCAAGGATTGTAGCCTTCGGTATGGATTATGACTCAATGTAAAGACGACCAAAATCCTCACAACTGGACCATGCTAAATGGAGAAAAGGTTGAAGTCGTCAAGGATTTTGTCTCACTTGGATCAACGGGCTCCGGCATCGGAATAATTGCAAGGATGGCGCAGGACCATGCGGTGTTTTGGTCCGTTGTGCATAGGATCGCGGTGGGGCATGGCTGTTTCCATGGCACCTACCAAGCGCCTCCACCACTGAGATCTACATTTCTCTTCCTTAAATTCACCGTGTGTGTGTGTGTGTGTGTGTGTGTGTGTGTGTGTGTGTGTGTTGTTGCTTTCCCCCCTGCTATCTCAGTATGACAAAACCAAGACCATAATGTCGGCTCTACATTTATTCATAAAGCAGGTTGGATCCTGGAAGCACAAAATAAATTAAAAAGGAAAAGGACTTTTGGAACCAGAAGTTTCTTATTTTACGCGGTAAATAAGCTTATTTTACGCGGTAAGATCGCTCCTACCTTCACCACTCTCCATGCCTTCTACAAAAATCCCCCCGCACTGCGGAAGAATCCAGTACCGGCGTCGGTAGCGGTCCTGACCGAACATCATCGAACGCAGAGAATGAGAAGCATCAAAGAGCTTCCGCCTGTACTGACTCTGTTGCTGTTAAGAAGGAATAGAAATTACGGGTTGAAGTAGCTAAACATTAGACACTTGCTATGTCTTTAGAGCAGATAAATTTCAGTACAAGGAAAAGAGCAAAAGGGTTACATATTACACACCCAACTTCACTTTCAGTAACTGATGGAGAATTATCTTTAGGGTCACTAGAATATTTTTTTGTTGCCATGTATCGGAAGGGTAAATTCTATTTTATCAGGTTTCTTATTGTGAAGCTCACCATGTATAACACAATCAAATATTCTATTCAGCCAGAGGAAATTGGTTCAATTCTCCTGATGACAGCGTCTAACAAATATTCTTTAAACATGTAATTGATCGTACCTATCTTTGCCTCTGTTTGTACTTGGGCTATAAACCTAGGCGACATGTGACCAAACTCTGGGCTAGTTCTATGAGGAACCGGACAGTGATGTATAGAGACATCATAATATTACCCTCTGAATATTTTTAAAGCCAATTTTTGTTTTATAAAAACTTCACCTGAAGTTTCACTAATTCTACTGATGTTTCAATGTTAATGAGGAAATATTAATAGTTTATAAGTCCAATGCAAAGAATATTCATAAACATCCAAATGTAGAGTAAAAGTTGCTGAAAGTATTACCATGAAGTTGTCCTTGAATTTTCTAAGCAAGTTACTCGTTCCAAGAAATAAAACTGTCTTTTCAATAATACTTTTAATTTTTATGTAATTGAAGAATAAAGGCCTTTTTCTTATAGGCTCTGAGTTCAGGATCATGTCTTAAGAAGTAAGCTTTTTTACTTAGGTAATAAACATATTGTGGCTTATTGTGAGACTGTTTCTGCAGCTCCTCATTTTTAATTGCCCACAAAAAGTTTGTTTTTACTTAGTAACCAGAAAATTAATCTCGTCCAAGGAGAATTTTTAAACAACGCAAAAAACAAACAAACCCCAAAACAAAGTAAAATCTAACCCCCCAAAATGCTTACTTTACTCAGTTTTTCAATCTGTTTTTCTAGTTCTTCAACACTTGCTGCTTGATCCCCTTCATCCTATAATATAGTACATCATGTACATGTTTTTAACATTTTAATTATTCAATCAATCAGTAAATGCTTAATAAAAGCCTCTTGTGCAAAATAAGCTTAATAATTTAGTAAGGAGAGACACAAAACATTACACAAAACAAATACCAAATAGCTGGAAGCTGACAGAAACTCCAGAAAAGTGGGAATGAAGGACTATGAAGTTATAGTAAAGTTGAGGTTCTTTCTCCTTGGAATCTACAATAGGAGTGTCTGTATGGAAGAAATCATGTTTCAGTTACGTGTAGGGGCAGATTGTCTTAAAATGAACTCTGAGAAAGGAATGCATGTCGAAGTCTCTGAATGCGGAGACGTTGGTGCTGAATTCTCTGATCGCAGGGAACCTGGAGCTGAACGCTGTCCCGGGCTTCGGAGTAACTGAGTGCGTTGATGGGGCAGGGAGTTCGAAGCTCATTTCCTTCTCCAAGTAAGCAAGACCATCAACATATTCCACAGTCTAGGAAAGAGCTGACAGCTCAGTCCCAGGAAACGGAGCCACTAACGGTCTGTCAACTAAGATAAAGTTAACATTTTGTCTCCTGTTTCCCCAAGAAATGCTGAGACACAGCATTTTGCAGGTGTTCGGCAGTACTGCTAGTTTGGGCTTTATCTTCTCCTCCAGACTACAGACAAATTAATTAAAATACTATTACTGCTTTGTTTGCCTTCAAAGAAATTATCACCAAATCCTTTGTGAGAGAACTTGTCATGGAACAGAGGATACATGACAAGAACTGTGTATTAACCTGCCTTGAATAAAGTTCTGGACCCTGGAGTCCCTGTACTCCAGGAGGCCCCTATGCCCCAATTTTGTCTTATTTTTTCATCTTTTATCTATCTTTCTCAATTGTGACCATGCCCCTCTTGACCCGGGTTCAATTTGTGAGAGAGCTGGTTTCTCACCTCACAGGTGAGGTACTCAAGACTGGTTAGGATTTTCAGGAAAGAGAGCAGGAAAGAGAAAATTTACTATACCTTGACATGAAAAATACATGATAAGATGGGAGATGAGGCAAAAATGAATATCATACTAGATGGTGAATACTTGGCACTGGACAGTATGAACTTCTACTGGGAGTTAAATATCAGAACCATGTTTTATTAATCTGGCAATAGTTGTATAATGGTCTGGAAGAGGGAAAGGAGTAAAATGGCCAGGCTAGCTACTGGACTATGCAATGATTCCAGACGGAGGAGACTATGGACTTCAGAGAAGTAGACGCAGAAAAAAGCAAATGGGCATAAGAGATTACATACAGTAATTATATTCCATAATTAGAAATGATCATTAAATACAGATTACATACAGTATTACATACAGTAATTAGAAGTGATAATTCTGGAAAATCATGGAAAGTGACAAGGAGATGGATGGATGGATGGATGGATGGATGGATGGATAGATAATTTAAGATTTTTAACCCAGGAGAGACTGGAAAAATACTGGTACCATTAATTGAAGGAGTCATTTCAGAATGCAGAAGATTCATACTTTGAATACACAGAACTTTTAAGGGAAAAAAATCTGTATGATATGTACTATTAATTTACAAAAACATGAGATAGATATCACATAGGTCAGTTTCAGATAAAGATATTAAAGCAAGTGTCAAGGCTGACATTTAAAATCAAAATCAAAGTGTGACTTCAAATTCCTTGTTGTTTTCAATGTATTGTGCAATCTTTGAGCCAAGTGTTAAAACTCAATCTATCATTTCATTACCTCATCTTCACAGATATCTGTCTTCTTTCCTTTTTTGTCTTCTTTATCTTCCTCGTCCTCATCATCTTCATCAGCTTGGTCATCACTGTCATCATCGTCGTCATCGTCATAATCACTGTCTGCTCCCTTTCTTCTTCGCTTGCGCCCTGGAGTGGGCGTGCCCAAGGGATGCTGTTCTTCTCCAAGATCAATGCCACCCGAAGCATCTCTTTTACCTGTTTTCTTAGCATGAATGATTCTGAGCCTACAAAGATGACAAAACACAAGATCATCGAGGGTGGGGGTGGGGACAGGGACCTCTCTACTCTCTTCTTAATGGGTACAACATGAATTTTAAGCAAACATATCTGTGATATTTTTCTCACATTAAGTAATAAGTTTACTAACTTATTACAAAGCAAATTAGAGTTAAGAAAATTTAAGAAACGCTTATACAAAGTATAGAAACTAAGAACTTCCAAGAGGATGCTGTGTATCTCTTTGGAATCAATCTACATCTAAAAAATACAACTTATAAAACTGGAAAGTTTATCTCTAAAAATGGCTATGTGATAATTTCTAATCCCATACTATCAGATTTAATATATTTCAATTCAAATTATTGTTACAAAAATTATCCTCTTAGTATAGAGGTTGAGTAATTTCAGCATTATATTTCCTGGCAGGAAGCTAATTAAGTTTTAATGTTGAATAAGTTTGGCTATATTACACTCTCTTCAGAAGCAAACTTTAATTAGAAAGCAATTAAGGAAAAAAAAGGTGATTCCAAGCAGATCTTATTCATGACAAAAACAATATAATAGCAACAAAAGTCTTTAAAAATGTGATGGCTTGACTTCTTTGAAAGAAAGAAGATAAACTGACTTCCTTGCAACCAAATTTGAAGTACATAAGCTCAATGAGTCTCATTAAATCTTTTGTCCAAAAAAAAAAAAAAAAAAAAAAAAATCTTTTGTCCATTGTAAATTCTGGTCATTATCTTTATTCATTTCATATTCTAATTACCTTTTCTAATTTTTACATAAAATGAAGTTGAATTTCTGGTTTTATGATTTGAAGGTTTTACTTGAACAAAGGAGAACTAATAATGATAATTAAAATAAAAAACAACTTACTTGCGAAGTTTACCTTCTACCATCCACTTATCTCTCCTCAAGTTTGACATATAGTCAATGTTCTTGTCAATTTCACTGTCAATGCACAAATTTATTAAAAGACAAGTTAATCCCAAATTAAGCCAATATATCATTGCAATTTAAAAACGGCTCAATTAAGCTTGTGTGTAGATGTCTATGCATGCACATATATGTATGCATATATGTGTATAGATACACCTGTATGTATATATGTACGCATATATGCATATACACGCATGTACTTATATGTTCAAAGTTATACTTCTTTAGTATATATAACATTGGTATTATTAACACATTCACTGTCATTCTCTACCTTAAAGCAACAAAGGAATCACTCACCAACCTTACAGCATTCTAAGTTTTGGTTTCCATATACCTACGAGCTGATAACTTCCCAAACCATAGCAGTACAGCAGAACATACAGGAGACGGTTACATAAATACACAAATTTCCAAACGAGAATTTCAAATAGTGTGACCCATGGCGATGGTACTAGTCAAATAGTGGGACATCTTCCTCGTAAGGAAGGACCTTCATGAGCGCTTTACTTTGAAAGTGCGTGTGTGGCTTTATTTCAACACATGGGACTCATCACTACCCTTCATTACCAAGCTCATATTTAATACACTTCTATGTTCAGGAAATTATAAAATGTAAATTCTAGCACACTTGTGTGGAGTGACTCCCAATGAATAGCAAAACAAATGAAAAATCTTATTAATACAATATCATAGCTAAGATACAAACAAGAAAACTCATAATGCTCAGTAAGGCTAAAAACCCCTGTCTCTAAATTTTAATTAACCTTTGTTCTAGAAAGGCAAAGTATTAAAAAAGAACATATTTAACTGAAAAACAAAGAAAAGCAAGAATAATGTGAACATGAATTAGCTCATCAAATCTTAAAATTTGATAATAAAGGACATAGAATCCTAAATGAGAATAAGCATTTTTTAAAAGTACTAATTAACACATTGATCCACTAATAACCTAAACTTGTATTAGCATATAATAAAGTTGAAGGTGGCTAGATGGGTCTATGAAGAACTACGAAGGAAAATCAGATCTACCTATCTGACCTCAAAAGATTTCAATGGAAGTAAAATTCTGGATTCCAGCACCGCTAAGGGGGAAAAATACAAACTTTCAGTCTATAGAGAATAAAATCATTAAAGAAACCAGACAGATTACACCAAGACTCCAGAATGATTTCATTTTTCCTTTCAAAAGACGGCAAAGGAATACACATGGATATTTCTGGGTGCTGAAATTAAGTGTGATTCTAACTTTCTTTTTTTGTGCTATTCTGTAGCTTACACATTTTTTTTTCTAGGAATATTTTTT